AACTCAAACGTCCATCAACAGTTGAACAGATAAACAAATCACAGTATGTAATGGAATGCTACTTGGCAATTTAAAAATGAACAACTGATAAAACAATATGGATCGATCTCTAAATAGTGATGCTGAGTGAAAGAAGTGCTAGAAAATGCAAATGAATCTATTATGACAAAATAATCAGAGGTTTCCTGGGGATGTGCCACAGAGGAAAGAGATAAGAATGGATTATAAACTGGCCCGAGTCCTTTTTTTTTAATAATTTTTTTTAAGATTTTACTTATTTGAGAGAGAGTGAGCACGAGAAGGAAGGAGGTACAGAGGGAGGAGGAGAAGCCGACTCACCCATGAGCAGGGAAGTCTGACGCAGAGCCCAGGACCCTGAGATCTTGAACTGAGCTGAAGGCAGACACTTAACCAATTGAGCCACGCAGGTGCCCTGAGCCCAAGAGAACTTCTATGTGCAATGGATATGTTCATTATTTTGATTGTGGTGATAGTTTCAGGAGTATATAATAAAACTCATTAAACTGTGCACTTTATATATGTGCAGTTCATTGTAAGTCACTTTAGATCTCAATAAAACTGCTGAAAGAAACAATACATGGTATTTTAATGTGTTTTTTAAACTTATTGTAAAGTTTTATTTTTTGTTTGTAGTTTGTTCTTTAAAAATTCAACATTGTTTTTGAAATCTGCTCATGTTGCTGTATTTACCTATCATTCATACATTTTCACCTTTGTATAACATTTCATCATATGAATATAATAGTATATTCATCTATTTTCCTGTCAATGAGTGTTTAGGTAACTATCGGTTTTTCACTTTACGAAGCAATGCTTTTAATATTCCTATATGTCTCTCTGTGCACATATATGTGAGGTTTTCCAAGGTATGCCCTGAAGTAGAGTTGTTGGTCATACCTACTGTTAACCTTAAAAATAAAAGCTGGTTATTTTACCAGCAAAAGATGGATTTATTCAGGAATAAAAGAGAATTATAATCTGGGACAAATAAGCAATGGCAAAACCATAGGCAAGTCTGGGGAACAAAGGTGAGGTACCCTTTTTTAAGGAGAAAAGGGGTAAGTTGGGAAGGTTGCTATAAACTGAAAATCCACTGGAGTAAATTGGGAATTTGATTTCCGGGGACTTCTCATTGTCTGAGCTGTTGTGGGGGGTGGGGCAGGCAAGGTAAAAGTGGCTCTTCCATAGGCTGGGATAGGAGTACCCACCTGCAAGATTAAGTTCTGGTGAATTCCCACCTGTCTCTCCCTATTGGGTCTGCAACTGACTAGGAGTGGCAGGGCAGAGCTTCCCCTGCCAAAACCTACACATTCCATTTTAGTGAGGTTTCATGTTACCAATTTTCACACTACACACATCTGCAGCTTCACTAGATCTTTCCAAATTGTTCTGCAGTTTCATTCAAGTTTGTACTTTCATTAGCAGTGTACAAAGTTGAACCATGTTCTGTTCTTTCTAACATCACTGGTCTAAAGTAGTAAATTGTTTTAATTTGCATTACTTTAATGATTAGAAAAGTTGGGCACTTCCCTGTTAGTCATTTGGATTTCCTCTTTTGGATATTGCCTACAATTTGGTGGGAGGAATAAGAGGAGTAATGGAGGAGCCATCTGAATTTTCTCTCAAATGTAGTCAGTTATTCTGATATCATTTGCTGAAAAACTGTCATTTCTCTACTTATTTGAAATGTCACCCTTAACATCTACTTATTTCTCCTGTGTGTTTCGTTTTTGTTCTTGGAGTTTTAATTCTGTTCTAGAAATAAATCCAAGCAGGGCACCTGGGTAGCTCAGTCAGTTAAGCAGGTAAGCATCTGCCTTTGGCTCCAGTCATGATCTCAGGGTCCTTGGATTGAGCCCCACGTGGGCTCCCTGCTCAGTGGGGAGTTTGCTTTTCCCTCTCCCGCTCCCCCTGCTTATGCTCTCTCTTTCTGTCAAATAAATAAATAAAATCTTAAAAAAAAAAAAAGGAAGAAATCTGAGCAAGTAAGGGAATTCAGTAAATGATCCAATCTATTCGTTCCTTCTTATATTGGTAATTTACTACTATAACTTCTAGATGATGTGATGGGGGGGAGAACTTTTTCTCTACACTCTTAGGTTCAGTAACTGAAGCCTTTTAAACTGAATTGACAAAAGACAGATCAACAGGAGAAGAAGGCTTATTTCATATGTATATGTGGGGGGGGCCTCACAGAAACTATGAGAGAACTCTAAAGATGTACAGTGTAACACTTGGCTGGCTCAGTCAATGGAACATGCAACTCTTGATCTTGGGGTCATTGAGATCGAGCCCCACATTGGTCTTAGAAATCACTTAAGGAAAAAAAAACTCTGAAGAGGCAGTCAGACAAGGAGGCTTATGTACAATCTTAAGAAAGGGAAATAAATTTGTGGAGAAATAACAAGACAAAGGAAAAGGGTTTTGAGCTTCTAGGTGTAGTAAACTGGGAAATGTAAACTTGTAGGGGAACTAATAGAAGGTAAAGCTTATTTTGCAAAGTTTGTTTGTGAAATTCCACTTTGGTTCCAACTTTCTTCTTTGTGGCCATAAAACTCCCCCAGAAGAGATTTATGGCAGTCTTTTTCTTTCTTTTCTTTCTTTCTTTCTTTCTTTCTTTCTTTCCCTTTCTTTCTTTTCTTTCTCTTTCTTTTCTTTCTTTCTCTCTCTTTTTTTCTTCCTTCCTTCTTTTTTTTGGAAAATTTTATTTATTTAGAGCAAGAGAGCATACACATGCCAGTGTGAGCTGGGGAAGGGGCTGAGAGAGAGGGAGTCTCAAGCAGCCGACTGTGTGCTGAGCATGGAGCCCAAGACAGGGCTCAATCTCATGACCCTGATATCCTGACCTGAGCTGAAACCAAGAGTCAAACACTTAATCAACTGAGCCACCCAGGTGGCTCAGCTGTCCTCATTTCTTTTTTTTTTTTAAGATTTTATTTATTTATTTGAGAAAGAGAGCACATGAGAGGGGGGAGGGTCAGAGGGAGAAGCAGACTCCCTGCCGAGCCGGAAGCCCAATGCGGGACTGGATCCAGGAACTCCAGGATCATGACCCGAGCCGAAGGCAGTTGCCCAACAACTGAGCCACCCAGGCGTCCCAGCTGTCCTCATTTCTTAGAAGTTTCTGTTCTTAGATAAAGGAAACTCCTAGAGGGCTTCTTTCTTCATCTAGTGATTCTCTGTGGCCTTAACACAAAATAGTCATAACCAAATGGCATAATTTGAGGTGGTATATTCTGATCCCATTCGATGTCATACATTTGGTAGGGCTGGTACCTTCAATTACTGTATTTCTTTTTTAATATTCCTGGATTTTCCTGCATGTCTATTCTCCCATGTTTATGAATTTTAGACTAATTTTATAAATTAGGATATTTGAGTTATTAAAAAATAATTATTACAGTATAAGTTATTGGGATTTTAATTGGGAGTACATTGCATTGGTAGCAATTCTGAGCAAATTAATAAACTTATAATAGTGCATCTTCCTATCCACTTACTTGACTTTTTTGTATGTTGGTGGCTTCATGCTTTGCTGATATAGTTCTGATATATTCTTGCTAAGTTTTGCCTGAACATATTTTTTAAAACTTCTATTGTAAATATTTTTTTCCATTACTTATTCCAACCAGCTATTGTTGTAGCTAGAAAAACTTCATTTTTGTATATTGATTTAGTAATTAGCTATATTGCCTAATTTTCTTGTAATTTTTAAATAGCTTTTGTTAAGTTTTCCCTTTGTGTAACTGATGTGGGAAACAAAAGCAAAGAAAACAATTAAATTTCCTTACTGCCTACAGCCCACTGACAAGTCCTGGAAACAGGTAGAGGGACTTTTCCTCTGGGAGTTCAGCTGCCTCCATGTTAAAATTTTAGCTTAACATTATCCAACCCCCCCTGTAAGTCTACTTTAACATATAAAAATTCCTTTGGAAACTTTCTTCATCTCTACACCCCTTGATATATGTTACCAATCATCTCCCAAGCATATGACCCACTGATATACATCTGAAGGGTCTCATGACTAGGGTTTTACTATACAGTAATAAATGACCTTTTCCTAACAAATGATACATACTAGGGAATATGTCACGTTCACAGTAAGAGCCACAGATAGTTTTTTCTCTATTTATATCACAACCAAATACTTAAAAGCCTGACATAAGCACGTGTACTCCAACGTGAAATGAGTCACATTATCATTTTCAATAAATCAGCATCAACTTAACATTTCTGAATTCTCAGCACTCAAAACCATGATGTCATAAAAAACAGTACGAATAAGATTCCCCAATCCTTCAGCATTCTGGTGATCATGTGAATTAAAGTGGAGTGGGTTTTTTAAAGCCTTTTGTTCAGCAACTTCCTTCCTATCTTAGACTACTCCCTAAATATCGTATACATCCTTTAAGTTTCTCCACTGAATTGTGACCTTCTGAAGGTCAGGGCATTTTGCCTTTAAGTGTTTCAGTCTCTTATCCCCTCCCAGATCCTACCAAGTGTTTGATATGCTTTGAGCTCCTCTCCACAGTCCCCCTCAAACCCAGTGCAGGAAAGAGGCCCGTCCAGTCTCGTGCTTAAATCAGTACAGTGTCAATATCCGTCAGTCATAATTGTGGATCCTCGATGCAACTGTTTTTCTTTCCCGCTGAGGTTTAAAGGAGGAGGGGAATCAACCCCCAAACTACACACTGGCCAGCTCCGAATGGAAATAAGGCAAAACCTTACGAACGAGTACACCCCGGCCTTAGGAAATAAAGGAGTACCTGGGGCTGGATACGACTGGCTTTGGGGATAATTCTTTTCACTACCGGGCCCCGAGGCCGGCAGCGTGGTCCCGGGAGCCTTCCCTAGGGTGGCCATCCGCACAGAGCACGCGCGGGCCACGGGTTACGAGGCACTAGAAGGTCAGCTCCGTTCGCTTTTCGGTCGCAGCCAGTTGGGCGTAGCTGGGCATTGTGACACGCCGAGGGAAAAAGCGGCGGGGGAGGGGCAGGCTGACAGGACCCTCGGGGCGCCCGGGCGCGGAGCTGGCGCAGGGCGGCGCGGCGCCTCTTTGGCGCGCACGCGCCTGAGCGCGCGCCCGGAGGGGCGGGCCGGGAATTGCCGCTCGCACGCCCTTGGGCAGCGGCCGGGCGCCCGTTGTCCGTTTTGCTTCCGACGCGCGCAGCCAGTGGAGCTGGTGTATGTGCGGCAATAACATGTCTGCCCCGCTTCCCGCCACCGTGCCCGCCGTCCGGAAAGCCACCGCTGCGGTGAGTGGCGGCGGCCAGGGTTCAGAGGGGCCCGATCGGCCCGCTGCGGGCTACTGCCTCTGGCGCGGGGTTGGGATCGCAGGCGGGTAGGGGATCGGTGGATGGGGGCCCTCTGCCCTGCCCGGTGTGGAGGGAGTGAGGTGCGGTGGGATAGTTGGCTCGGCCCGGGCCCGTGTTGCGGCCGGGGTGGAGGATCTGCGTCCCACATCCCCCCCTCCCCCCCCGCCAAGCAGCCTCCGAACCCGAGTCCTCTGCATTGCGGAGCGCGTGCGGCCGGCGGGACCCCCCGACCTTCCCCACCCCCACCCCCTTTCCCAGCTTGGAGGCTTTGGCGTTAGTGGAGAGGCGCCCTAACGCGAGGTGACTTTATAGCGTGTTTCTGTCTCGTTTGTGGATGAGAGAATCATTTTCTTACCTTGCATTCTTGTTCTAAATTAAAGAAGTTGGGGGCGCCTGGGTGGCTCTCAGTCGTTAAGCGTCTGCCTTCGGCTCGGGTCATGGTCCCAGGGTCCTGGAATCGAGTCCCACATCGGGCTCCCTGCTCAGTGGGAAGCCTGCTTCTTCCTCTCCCACTCCCCCAGCTTGTGTTCCTGCTCTCGCTGTCTCTCTCTGTCAAATAAATAAAATCTTTAAAAAAAAAAAAATAAAGAAGTTGGAAGATTGCGTGTCTCACAAAATCAGAGGGTTTTTTTTTAAGGAAACTTGTGTATGAGGATCTCAAACTTATTTTTAACCCCCCCTCCCCCCGCTCCTTTTTGCGATGGAAAAATTTACAGCATTTGTGAGAGATTTTCATGGTTTGACTTGACAGAGACAAACTCTTTCTTAGAATGTGGTTGGTGATCATTTGCACTTAAGAATGTCTAACTGGGACCTCCTTAAGTGCTAAAACGTCACATTAATTATCTTAGGAACTCAAGGAGAGAAGTTAAGGATTTTTGTCATTTAAGAGGTCTGGAGAGATTAATTAACTTGCTGAGGGCAGTATTCTGTAATTCTGGCATCCACCTTAACCAAAACTTCAGTGTATAACAATTCTGTGTGGGTTTATTTTGGCATTGCTTATTAATTTTTCTCTTCTCTTATAGGTGATTTTCCTTCATGGATTGGGAGATACAGGGTACGTACCCTTATTAGTAAGAGTAATGAAATGGGGTTATGCAGCTCTATACCATGAAATGTTTATTTAAGAACTCTAGGAATGTATAAAAGAAGATTGGTAGTCCTACTTACAGTCCGGGAATAAGATACAACCTTTTCCTTTTTGAAAACTCCCAGAATTTTTCCCTCATCATCTTAAATTTCTCATATTCAACTCATGTTTCTGGAACATGTTAAATTGCAAACTCCTTGAGTTGCTGTGGGTATTAGATGCCAGAGATGGGTGGAATGTCGCACACAGAGACAGTTTGCAATTGAGAGCTCTCTACAGGAGTTAAAATTTCAGGGCAGGTTGAGAAGTAGTTGATTTTGATAAGGAAGTAATAGTAATGTGAGGTGTACAGCATTCTGATTGAGTGCTTTGATATTCCCTTAGAAGAAAAAATCAGTTGAAGTGCAGGGGAGGCCACTCGAAGATTTATTTGGAGTCTGATCAAACAAATTTTGTTGTGCTAACTTTAGATAATATGACTTACCTTTCTTTAGGCTTTTTCTCTATTGAGATGTTTTGTTTTTAATTTAAAGCCGTGATTGTCAGGGAACCCAGCTGGCTCAGTCCATAGAGTGTACAGCTCTTGATCTCAGGGTTGTGAGTTCAAGCCCCACATTGGGTATGGAGCAGTAACAAGCAGTGATTTTCTATTTGAAACTTGGGCAAAAGTGTTGTTACAAAATTACAGAACTGGAGGAAAACTGCAGATAAATAAATTTTGATAAAGTAGCCAAAAAACTATTAAATCTTCTTTACAAGGAGGCATTGGGCTAGATTGTTAAAAGTGATTCCTAATATTCTTTAATGCCTACTAGATAGAAGTTTATGACATACCTTGTATGGGGCTAGGGAAAAAGTTGCAGGACTCTTTTGGCAATCAGGTAGTCTTGTGAAAATGACAGACCCAGGGGCGCGTGGGTGGCTGACTTGGTTAAGCGTCTGCTTAACTGGCTCAGGTTATGATCTCGGGATCCTCCGATTGAGTCCCGCATTGGGCCCTCTGCTCTGAGGAGAGCGTGCTTCTCCCTCTCCCTCTGCTGCTCCTGCTGCTCTTCTCTCTCCCTCTCTCTCTCTCTCAAATAAATAAATAAAATCTTCAAAAAAAAAAAATGACAGACCTATTTCACTATTTATTTAACTAAAAAGAGACTTAACAAACTCTCTTTTACAACCAAACCTTTCTTAATGCTGAGAGTTAGGGAAGAACTTGCTACCCTGTAACTTTCCCATCAAGGAGATCCAGGCCTGAATAATCAGTCCAGGAGAAGCAAGTTTCAGTGTAGGAAGGTTCTTTGTGGACCCCAAATTAGCCAGATTCCATGGACTGAAATTAAAGAGTGAACATGATGAAGGAAATGAACAATGTGAGATTAAAAATACCAAGAATATCCATGGCTTCTTGACTAAGAATTAAGTTTATATAAAAAATTAAAGGTCTCCAATTCTAAAAATACTTTGTGAGATAGTACTAAAGAAAAGCTGACTTGGGGTTCCTGGGTCGCTCAGTTGGTTAAGCATCTGAATCTTGATTTCACCTCAGGTCATGATCTCAGGCTGGTGAGATGGAGCCCTGCATTGGGCTCCACACTGGGCATGGAGCCTGCTTAAGATTCTCTCCCTCTCACTATGCGCCCCACCTATCTTTCTTTCTCTCTCTCCCCCTCTCTTAAAAAAAAAAAAGGCAAGAAAAAAAGAAAATTTGTTCTGTCAATACATGTTGAAGTTCAGAACCAATCAATCCGACAAGTGGCAATTTTATGTTTATATTTGTCAGGTTAACTTGGAGGATGATGGGGATTAAGTGATTCAGTTTGTTGCTATTAAAATGAACAGGTTTTGCCGTTTTTTTTTGTGGTTAACGTTCTTTTTTGTGGAACTAGCCAGGGTGTACTGTCTAGTAACTTAGGTCTCAAGGTCTGTGTCTTTTAGATTCCTCATGAAAAAAGTGGTGGCCAAAAAAGATTGAGAGACCTGTATAATTCTATATTTCATCAATTCTAATATGTAATTTTCCTCATATTTTTATGTTTCTGAGATTGGTACTCATTTTACTACATGTATGTTTATTGTGGTGGTGATTTTTTTTGCCTTAACCTATTTTTTCAGTGGTTCCCCTCATATTATGTCTTAGTGTCTAGGAAATATGTTATGGCATATTCTTCTCTTGAAAAAACTTAGAGCATATGACTAGCATGTTTAAAGTTCTGAAAAGTTCTATTGTAAAGAAACATGACAACCAGAGTGTTCCTAATAACATGTATAATAAACTATGAAACTAGTATTCAAATAAACATATTTTAGACTATACTGTATGGCACGAGATCACAGTTTTCCTTCTAAAGTAAAACTGGCTTTTGTTAGGATTATGAAAATGTTATATTTGTATTGTAAAAAAATTCAAACTGTGAGTATGAGAATAGTCCTAAAACTCAGTGATGTGTTTTTTTCTTTTTTTTTTTTTTGAGGTAAGTGTTTTTGATAGCATTTTTAAAAATGTCTTATTTTGAAATATTTTCAAATTTATGGAAGAGTTCCAAGAATAGAGATTCCTCAATACCTTTTACCCAGATCCACTAATCTCTTTGTTTGTTGAATGTGTGTGTTACTATGTTTGCTGAAATCCTTGAGAGTAAATTGCAGTTACCTTGATTTTTCATTTCCACACTTTAGCATGCATTGACATTTTTGCAGAGGTTAAGCTAGTCCCTAAGTTCATTAGATTAGTTTATGCATTTTTGGTACAAATACCATATAGGCTATATGTCCTGTTCAGGGCATCATGTCAGGAGACAGATGATAGCCTTTGTCCCATTATTGATGCTTAACTTGAATCACTTGATTAAGGTGGTATTTTCCAGGTTTCTCTACTGCAGTTACTCTCCCTTTGTAGTTAAAAAGCAACTTGTAGGGAGATACTTGGAGACTTTGCAAATTGTATGTTAAACTTTTACCCAGTATTTTCAGCATCCATTGATGATTCTTGCTTGACTCAATTGTTAATATGATGTGATTTCCTAAGTCTGTCACACTTTATTAGTTTGCCCCTCCCCATTTAATACAGACTATAGATTTATGTAATGGGTTATATTCCATCATTGTTACTGTGTTTTAAAATTTTTAACTTTTTCTTTTAAAATAACTTCAAATTTACGTAAATATTGCAGAAATAGTATTTAGATCTCCTCATACCCTTTCCTGTTACCCAGTTGTGAAACATTTGAGCATATTGTAGAAATATTGCCTCATTACTCCATAAAATTTTATTCTACTTATTTTTTTTTTTAAGATTTTATTTATTTATTCATGAAAGACAGAGAGAGGCAGAGGGAGAAGCAGGCTCCCAAGGAGCAGGGAGCCCGATGCGGGACTCGATCCCAGGACCCTGGGATCATGACCTAAGCCAGAGGCAGACGCTTAACCATATGAGCCACCCAAGCGCCCACTCCATAAAATTTTAGTGTGTATTTTGTAAGCACAAGGACATTCCCCCATGACCACTATCATCAGATTTCTTGGTTCTGTCACATTTTCTTGGTTTGACCCGGTCATGTCCTTTATGGGCCCAAGATCCAAACCAGGATCACACGTTGCATTTAGTTATCTATCGTGTCCTTAGTCTCCTTCAGTCTAGAGCAGTCTTTCCTTGTCTTTTATGACCTTGAGACTTTTTGAGAATACAGGCCAATTACTTTGTAGACTGTCCCTCAGTTTGGGTTTGTGTGATGTCTCCTTCTGACTTAAGCCTTTTTGACGGGAATATCACAGAGATGTTGCCGTGTTCCTCTCAGAGGATTGTATCAGTTGCACACTATGTTGATTTTTGTTCCTTTACTGGTGCTGTTACATTTTTTCACCTGGTTAAGATGGTATTTGCCCTGTTTCTCCACAGTAAAATAAATAAGGGTATTTACTGAAAAATATTTTGTGGGGAGATGCTTTGATACTATGAAAACATGTTTCTCACCAAATTTTCACCTATAGATTTAGCTTCCATTAATTATTTTTTTCTATATTATTGTGATAGTTCCAGATAATCTTTTAAAAAAATCCTTCATTCTAGATTTATTCATTGGCCGCTCTCCCTTCTCCCTTATTTATTATGTATGTATGTATTCATTTATTCATTTTAAAGCATCAAATCAGGACAGACTCTTGGATTGCTCTTTTACTGTGAGGGTTACAAACTGTTAAATCTGTCATATTTTTGATGGTCACATCATCCTACACTTGTCTATCAGAAGCCCCTCCAAGCTGCTCTTATGTCTGGGACCATGCCCCATCACTCCTTGAGCACTTTCTTGCGTTCTGGTGCAGCAAGATCTTTTCTAGGATCATCTTATGTTTTTTCTGCTTCAGTCCTGGGACTCAGCTTTTTTTTTTTTCAAGAGCCCCGGTTCCTTTTAGTAGAGAATATTTGGGAACCAAGATCTGAGTGCTTTATGTGCTTATTGCTAGAATCATTACTTCTAGATCCTTTCAGTAGACAGAGCCGGGAGTGTAGCTACATAACATACATGTGTAGACACACGTCTATATCAATTTTGATATCTACATATATTAAAATTAGGGGGTGTATACTGATTCCTCCAGTTCCACTCAGCACCACTGGGTTTATTCTAGCCTTCCCCCTTTCTGTATTTGTAATTCTATCAGAAACCTGGCTTCTGTTCTGGCAGTTATGGCCAGTAGTGTACTTTGGCATTGCCCCTCTACTCACCCCCTCCCAGCTGAATGTGACACCTGAAAGCTCAGTTCCAGTTAAGGGGAGCAGGAAGGAGAAAAGGCCAGGTGGAAAGCTTGGCCCTCTTCATGTAAACTTACCCTTCCCTTCATATATTCCAGGAGTTACTGGTCTGTGTTACCTATCTATGTGAGATTTTTCTAGGCTGTGGAGATTGTAAAGTTTAGAAGAGAAAGTTTCATAAGAAAAAAAAGACTAAAAAACCCAAAAGTTTCAAAGACAGAAA